TTATTCTCTTGCTATCGGGGAAAACTCGTGAAAAGTGACTCATGCTTATAGCAGAGGAACACGGCTGCAGACGGAAATGACTTTAGTCCTCTGGAGGTTTACAACCACTTTAACTACATATACAGTAAGTTTGCTTTATAGTGATTACTGCTTTTGTTACCCACCACAAAGGTCAGAATTTAAGTTTTTGTGCTCCCTGGTTCCCTATGGATGGATAGTTGAGTCTATAGCGCTCACTGCTGTAGACAGAGGTGCAGCCCAGCCTCTAAAGGCCTAAGGACTCGTTCACACTTGACTTTATTTCTAACTCTTGCCAAATGCCACTGTAGTGTTTGACAGGCATTAGACAGGGGTTTGGGAAGCATTTTTAATGCTCCTCAAATGCTCCCCAAATGCCCTATGCGCACTTTTGAGGCATTTGTTAGGCATTTGTCAAGCATTAAAACCGCACCACAAACGTATATAATGAAATTAAATGGTATTAACGCTCCGCAAATGCCTAGCAAACGTGTTGCAACCGCACAGCAAATGCCTGCTAGGCGTTTGAGAAGTGTCACCATAGACTTGAATGGGAGTTTTCAACTCCTCCTGACTCGACATGAGGGGCCATTTTTGCCACGACGTAACGCTACCGCTTCAGTGTGAACAGCACTGTGTGCTGCCATGTGCAGAATTTTCATAGTCATTTGAGAAACGTTAAAAACACTTCCCAAACGCCTGTCTGATGCCTGCTGACAAAGCTAGTGTGAACGTAGCCTTAGTTAGTAAGACATATAAAACAGACAGCAACCTAGAGCAAATAATCAGAATGTACTGCATCCTCAGTTAGTGTGGCTATCCTATGGCTCATGCTAAAGGCTTATTAAAATTCCTATTACTTAGGGTATAGGCCACACATACATGCTCCCCCATTCTCCAACAATGGTAGTCAAATGCTATCGCATGTGAGGTGGGGTCATGTCTATGTTTTCATAGTGTCTTTGTAGGAGTTGCAAGGCAGATAGGTGCACTGATTTGGAGTATTAAGGTTACTTAACCTCCTTGGCGGTATGATTCTTTCCGATTTTTTGTGCTGAACGCGGTACCATTTTTTTGCATGGAAATATGTAGTTTTTTATTGTAGGCTGTAATTTTTAGGAATAACTCACTGAAATCTGTGCGAACAAGAGTCTATTAAACATTCCGGATATGATAAAATTTGAAACACGAATCAGAAATTATAATTTAATAAATAATCATAAAAAAAAATAATATAATAATAAATTTAATTCAATAATATAATCAAACCAAAAACATTGAAATTTTAAATATAGCGCCAAGTTCGCACATCACTGAGCAAAGTCGCAAAATTGTTTTCAGTGTCTGATGACGAATTTCCCCCACGAATCATTATCACTCAATTCTGCAAGTAGTTCTGATTTACTATCGCTGCTCTAAAACCGCTTTCGACCTAAATGGACGCTTTTTTGGACGCCATGGACTTTTCTCAGTTTCCAGGTAGAAAGAACATTCAAAATGCAGGCAGGGCACAGGACAAAGCAGTAGGGACAAAATGTATGTGAAATGCATTGAAACAGCAATGACAGCAAAAATGAAATTTTTTAAAAATTTCACATTTCCCGCCGGTTCCGGCGCCCATACGTCCCGACGTCACAGGGACCAGAACACGGAAGCCGGATGCTGGCATCGGCCGGAGGAGATGGCCGGGGACGCTGCAGGGGACACATCGCAGGAGCGAAGGACAAGGTAAGTGTTGCAGGGACCCCCAGAGCAGCGCCACATGGTAAGCCCGAGTGTAGCTCGGGGTTACCACTTTTGGTATAGAAATTTTACCCCGAGCTACACTTGGGATTACCGCTAAGGTTAAAGTGTTACTAAACCCACAACAGTAAAATCAGTCTGTATATGCAGTAACGCATGCTTGTTATACTCACTGTGGAACCTAAGGGGTTAATCGTCTGCATTGTGTAAAAAGGCTATTTGATCCTGTCTTCTATGATCCTCCCCTTCTTCCAGAGTCCCCATGTTATCTCCTGATAGGACATATCATGTGGTGACACTCTGTACATGCTCAGTTTGATGTGTATTGCTAGAGAGGTTTTTTTTTTTTTTGGGGAGAGTGCATGATCAGCACAGGGTTAATCAGCACTGTCCAGACAGAGGTCGGAGGTTCTGCATCCTTCTAGAGCAGAAAGAAAACTCATCCTACAAGCTTTAACCAGTGCTCTGCTGAACACTGATAGAAGTCACAAGGCTGCTCTAACTGCTGATGAGAAAAGGTATTTAGCAGTTTATATGTACTTACATAATTGCATTTCCATGTTCTGTGCACTGTAGGAGAGCAGATATAGTGAATGCAGGGTCCGGGGTTTTGTAACACTTTAAGCAAAGTTAATACACCAGAAGTTGAAAGAAGGGAAGGGAGGGGAGGGGAGGTCATTTTTAGTTTATTTTTTGTCTACTGGTGAAAGGTGTGCTTTAATTGGATACTTTCTGGTACCACTTTTTTTTTTATATAAAAACTCAGTTTATGAACTGGTGGACGTATACAGTAAAGTACAATCCGGCTTTATGTTTCAGCTGAATGCTCCAAGTGTTAATACTTTTGTATCTCATTGCCCAATGAAAGAATTTCTGTGCATGTGAATGCTTTGACCTTTTGTAATGTTTTGACAAAGCAAGTGTTACCTGAAATTCAGTTCCAAACAGAAATCTTGTCATCACTCTATTTGTTCGCTTTGCTGTTTTTTTCTTCTATATTACACCATGTTGGCATGATCTCCTAGAAACATAAAGCTAGTTATCAAATCATGGCTCATATATTTGACAGAGAAAAGAAGACCATTGTAACCCGTAAGATCCCTTGTGAAATGATATTTGGGTTGCCCATTCACATTCCAACGCTCTTGTGTGCTGGGATAATGCATGCATGTTATATAACACGTTAACATGCATTGTGTTATGGCGGTCAAATTATTTTGAACAGAAATGTACTTTCAGCTTTTTGTTTAAGTTCATCACAACGCATGGTGGTATGTTACGGTGCTCTGCATGCAGGTGTTCTGTGGAGGAGCGTTAGAGGTGTGTTGGCATGCCATGGCAGCTCAATGCTCTAACACACATTAAGTCTGTTATTGCTTTGCAGTACTGGGAATAGTGTGACCTAGAACATTCAACTGAACATGTGGTTGGTAAACCAGTCATCTGTTTGAGGGTTCATTGATAAACAACTTATTTATGGCTCCTCTCCTTGCCTAGTCGATAGTATTTGTAAAAAAGGTTACCAAGAATTGCAGGCTGCAGAACACTGATCTCTACTTCATGCAAAATGACTACACAGAGTTCTTCCTGCACACAAAGGGAATTGCAGGCAAGACTCCAGTTCAAAAATACTCTCTCTGGCCTCTTTATTAGATATACCTGTTCAATTGCTTGGTAAAACAAATTGCTAATCAGCCAATCGCATGGCAGCAACTCAGTGCATTTAGGCATCTAGACGTGGTGAAGACCACTTGCTGAAGTTCAAATCAATCATAAGAATGGGGAAGAAAGGAAATTTAAGTGCCTTTGTTGGTATCCAGATGGGCTGATCTGATCTGATCTGATCTGGGACTTTCACACACAACCATCTCTAGGGTTTAAAAAAGTATGGTTCAAACAAGAGAAAATATCCAGTGAGCAACAATTGTGTGGATGAAAATGCCTTGTTGATGTCAGAGGTCAGAAGAAATTGGGCAGGCTGGTTCGAGATGATAGAAAGGCAACAGTAACTCAAATGACCACTCGTTACAACCAAAGTATGCAGAATACCATCTCTGAAAGCACAACACGTTGAACCTTGAAGCAGATGGACTACAGCAGCAGAAGACCATACCGGGTGCCATTTCTGTTAGCTAAGAACAGGAAACAGAGGCTAAAGTTCACACAGGCTCACCAAAATTGGACAATAGAAGTTTGGAAAAACATTGCTTGGTCTGATGAGTCTTGATTTCAGCTGCGACATTCAGGTGGTAGGGTCAGAATTTGGCATTAACATGAAAACATGGATCCATTCTGCCCGTATCAATGGTTCAGGCTGGTGATGTAATGGTGGGGGGGATATTTTCTTGGCACACTTTGGGCCCCCTATTACTAATTAAGCATCATTTAAACGCCACGGCCTACCTGAGTATTGTTGCTGACCATGTCCATCCTTTTATGACTACAGTGTATCTTCTGATGGCTACATCCAGCAGGATAATGCACCATGTCACAAAGGTCAAATCATCTCAAACTGGTTTCATGAACATGACAATGAGTTCACTGTACTCCCCCGGTTCTGTGGCTGATTAACCGCCTCCCACCCGCCATATAAGGGAATGACGGGCGCAAGGCGGTTCTCTCCTTTTGGGAGGATATCATATGACGTCCTCCCACTCTAACCATGCGTACGCGGCTCCAGGAGCACGCAGCGTGGCGATCGGTGTTGCGCTGTCGGCTTGGTCATGTGATCAGCTGTGTCCAATCACAGCTGATCACATGCAAATAGGGAAATGCTGGTGATCGACATTTCTCTCTACTCGAGCTGTCACGCTGAAAGCTTGAGAGTAGAGAAGAGCCGGTGATCAGCATCCCTCAGAGGGGGCTAGTTTTAGCCATATATTTATTTTATTTTATGGGTTTACTATTTACAGAGTTATACATCCCTTAATATTTAGTCGTTTTAAGGGTTTTATATAGTTTTGTTTTATTTTATTTTTAGGTAGAGATACTTATTATATATTTATAATGCCGGTGATTGGCATCCCTCAGAGGGGACATGTACACTGATCATCAGGGCACTGATGATCAGTATGACCTGATGATCAGTGTAGCCCAGCAGTGCCACCTGTCAGTGTCCATCAATGCCAGCTGCCAGTGCCCATCAGTACAACATCAATACCACATATCAATGCCTACCAGTGCACATCAATGCCACATATCAGTGCCCATCTGAGCTGCCTTTCAGTGCCACCTATCAGTGCCACCTATCAATGCCAGTCAGTGCCACCTATCAGTGCTGCCAATGAGTGCCACCTATCAGTGCCAGTCAGTGCCGCCTATCAGTGCCAGTCAGTGTCGCCTATCAGTATGCATCCGTGCCGCCTATCAGTGCCCGTCAGTGCTGCCTATCAGTGCCACCTATCAGTGCCAGTCAGTGCTGCCTATCAGTGCCAGTCAGTGTCGCCTATCAGTCTGCATCAGTGCTGCCTATCAGTGCCCGTCAGTGCTGCCTATCAGTGCCAGTCAGTGCCGCCTACCAGTGCCTCCTCATCAGTGCCCATCACTGCATCCTCATTAGCACACATCAGTGAAGGAGAAAAATCACTTATTTACAAAATTTTAAAACAAAAACTAAGAAAAAACTTTTTTTTTCTAAATTTTCAGTTGTTTTTGGTTTGTATGGCAAAAAAAAAAAACCCAGAGGTGATTAAATACCACCAAAAGAAAGCTCTATCTGTCTCAAAAAAATTATAAAAATTTCATATGGGTACAGTGTTGCATGACCGCGCAATTGTCATTCAAAGTGTGACAGCGCTGAAAGCTGTAAATTGTGCTGGCCGGAAGGGGGTAAAAGTGCCCTGTAGGCTAGTGGTTAAGGTGGTAATCAAACTCACTTAGTGCCTCATCTGCATTAAATTAGTCACAGAACCTGTGTAATTAATATGTGTTTGGTTTTAAAGGGATGAGGTGGCAACCCTACTGTCAGCTCTTCTGCCCGCTCATGCTAGATTTGCTAAAAACAGCAGGAGCCATTGGTTCCCACTGCTCTCAGTCAAATCCTGTGGGGGTAGCGGGGGTGGGTCCAAGCCACGCTGTCTGTGTCAATGGACACAGACAGCACGGCTTGAGATCAAGCACATAGGTGTGTCACAATAGGAAGCAAACTAAAGCTGGCAACACCAAGAACTAAGCTGGCACACTACACAAGAAGAGGAAGAGCCAGGAGAGTCGGCAGGGGACCACTACACAAAGCAGGAAAGGATAAACGTGTTTGTTAATTTAAAAGTATAAAATGTAAGACTTGACAATCACTTTAATCTTATGCTGAGAATTTGGTTGAGAGTATTACATTGTATCATAATATTTATAGAAACTCTCTTTTTAATGTAGATTTATTTAAAGGTTGCTAAAATAGATTTGGAATTTTGAAAACCTTTTTTTCTTAATTACTTTTGGATAGAAATGTTAAAACCTCAATCAAGTTATTATTGCATCTTCCATTGCTCTAGGAAGTGATTTCCTTTCCCACCAGCCACACCAGCTGCTCAGAGAGAAGTGCGAGCTGGAACTTTGACTGCGTAGAAAAGCATAAAAAATATATTTGTATTGCAACTGCATTTTTCTTTAGCAAACTGTATGTGAGACAATGAGGAGCACTGCAGGGGCAACATTTCATAGTTGGTTTGTAGTTTAACCTTTCCTTCTACTTTAAAGTAACATTAAAGCTCCTCCTGCCCCTATAGAAAGAAAAATGTAAACACCCACTCATTTTATACATAATGTTTGGGGATTCTAACTTTTATTCTAGCAACAAATGCAGATATTTATATGTACATGTATGAGAGAAGTGTCAGAAGAAGAAGGCCCAATACTTAAGTTAAAATAGATACAAAGTGCTAAATTTATTGTGAGATTTGTCCAGTTTACATAACACAAAATGATGGGTCATGTTATTAGGAAATCTGAAAATTTAAATTATTAATTTCTCTGGAACATTAAATGGTTTGAAACATGTTACATGTTCCTCCCGTTTGTAGGCCTGGTTTACACTACATGCGTTTCAGTTGCATTTTTTCTGCATCTAAAATGCACAGAAAGTAGATTATATGGTTATCAATGTCATATTTCACGTCAGTGCTTGCAGTTCCAATGCGTTCTGGGTGCAGAGAAAAAAGTAGAACAGGTTGCATTTTTTTCTGCACAGAACTGTCCTGGAACGCTGTAAAATGCATCAAAAATGCACTGGAACGCACCAGAACACACCAAAAACGCACTGGAATGCACATGTCCCTATTTAAATTGAATAAAAAGAGAGAGGAGAAAATGAACTGGAATGCATAAAAAAAACGCACTGGAACGCTACAAAAATGCATCAAAACACACATGCAAAAACGCATCTGGAACACATCTGGACTGCGTTTCTGAAGTGTGAACCAGCCCTTAGGGTTGAACATGTAACATGTTCCCATAGCCGCAGCTGAAATCATTGGGCTGTTAATTAGATGATGGACAGCAAGTAGTTAAATCTTTTAGTGGCAAACATGTAATTGATTATGTGGGGCTAAGCTTAAGGGATAAGTTCAACTTTTAGACAAAAATTATAAATGCACATTTTTTTGCAGGCAAAAAAAATGTGCATTTATTATTTTTGTCTGCAGGAGCCTGGAAAGCATTGCACCAGTGATTAGTAGATCACTGATGCCATCCAGGTCTCCTGCAGACCTGTCAGAATATCTGCTGGTAGTTCATTGAAAACTACAAGCTGACAGTCACCATTAATTCATTCATTAGTTCATTAATTCACGTCCGCGCTGTTTTTAAATTTGACAGATAGTATAGGGAGACTTCTCCACATACTATCTGTCAGAGGGAGGGGGGCGGCGGATGCAGCTATGGGAATATGTTACATGTTTCACCCTAAAAACAGGTGGAACATGTAACATGTAACATGTTCCAAAGGTGAACTTATCCTTTAATCTCTCCTACATCATCTTCTAGTGTCCAAACTTTCCACTCACTCTGTAAAAAAAATAAAAGTCAGCAGCTACAAAAACTGTAGCTGCTGACTTTTAAAAAACAGCCACTCACCTGTCCCACAATCCCGCGTTGCCCCCGCCGCAGCCTGTTTCACCGGCTGTCCAGTATTCCAGGCGCCGGCATCTTCAGTGTGGGCACCCGGCTGTGACAGCTTGCGGCTTCACATTCCGGTGCCCACTGCGCATGTGCAAGTAGTGCAGCACTTCCTGAATGGTCCCCGTCATCTTCTGGGACCTGTCACATGTCCCACAAGACTTCGGGGAGGGAGGGTAGGAGGACAACTTCCGTTTTCGCTTAGCGAAAGTGGGAGCAGGTACTTGTCAAATTCAGGTACCCGTCCCCCCCCCCCCCCCAAAGGTGCAGATCCTTAATGGGGAATGGGGGACCAATCTTTAAAGTGGAACTTCCCCTTTTGGGTGGAACTCCGCTTTAAGAACAAATTCTGGAGAAACTAAGGATTGGTAGAAAAACCCATTTTAGGCCTCTTTGTTTCTGGTGCAAGGCAATGTGAATTTATTTACAAGAGATAAAGATAGTATTTGAAAATTTCTTCATGCAGTGCTAAAAAAAAAAAAATGAACAAAGGAAAAGTAAACTGACATCATGGAGGAACTTATTCACATTTCCTAAAGCAGACTCACTACAAACATTCTTACCTGGGCCTGTTGGAATGACTTCCAAAATTCCCAGGAATACAAGAAGACTTTAAAGTAGAACAATAATCAAAACTTTTTTTTCATAGAGCAAGGGAGGGTAAAAACCCCTGTCAGATTATTTTTTTTTTTTTTACCATGTGTCCCATTGTGGAGATTTCCCTTCACTTCCTGTCCCACAGTCAAACAGGAAGTGAGAGGAAATCACTGCAAATTTAGGGAATTCCTTACGGACCCCAAGGTCACCAGAACTAGTGTCCCCATTGGAAGATTTCCACTCTATTACTTTTCCAGGGATAACCCAAATTTCTGGATTTTCTTTCACTTTCTCCTGTAATGACAATGGTAAACAGGACAAACAGAGAGGGTGAATCTCCTTAACAGGGGCACAGACAGCTATAAAAACTGACAGGTGTTCTAATCCCTCTCCACTCTATCCAAAACATCTAGAAAGTTTTGCCTTTATTTATACTTTAACAACTGATACCTCTGACTAGTTTACCTTCCCTATGAATAATGCATCTTTTTTTTTTTCCTGGTGCACAGAGACACCTTAAAGGGAGATGACTCTGCCAAGTCTCGTTCTGGTCTCGCTGCCCCTCACTGACTAATTCTGTCCTCATACCTGTAGACTTTCATCCAAACATTCAGAAAGCAAACAAATTGCTTGTCGGAACATTTGATGGTGCCTACATGGACTCAGCTAATTGGAAATGACTTTTTTATTCAAGTCCCATGTCAGTGTGGTAATTTTTGTAGAACAAATGTGCTACTTCCGCATTACGTTTACAAAGTTCATATGCATAAGGCTTGTTGCGGTTAAAATTAGTTCATTCCCATTAGATTTGACAAAAAAATTTTTATGCTTGTCCTTCGCTTTCTCTGGCGGAACCAATTGTGTAATCATCTCCTTTAAAGTAGAAGTGAGGGCCAAAGCTCTCTTGGCTCTACTTCTCCTGTGGGTCACAGGAGTGCACTTAGTTCTGTACTCCTGTGACCCATTTTCAGCCAACAGCAGCTAAAGCCCACTGTAGGCTGACATCACTGAGCTCTGGAGACATCCCAACTTTTAAGCGGGGATCCACCCAGATGCCTGGACCAGCAGCCTGCACAATCTCTATGTGAACTCGGTGCTCCAGTGAGCGCTGGAGCCGCAGAGCACAGAGCGATGACTGACTGAGCACAGAGAGCGGTGACTGAGCTGAACCAAGAACTGAGCGTTCAGCGGTCTTCGGACTGATGATGCATCCACCCAGCTGAGTGTGATTGCTTTTTTCATTCCAGAACTTCTCTTTTTAACTCTTAGATAATCAAAGGAATGTTCTGAAAACTACAATTTTTGAACCAAATTTTTCAGGTGTAAGGCCAATCTTTTTCTTTCTTTCTTTTCTTTCTTTCTTTCTTTCTTTCTCACACATTTCACCACTTTATTTATAATTGCATAAAACAATCTTTTGGGTATCCCGATTTTGATGGTGATCCCAGATGCAATAAGACTTGATGGTTAATCTGTACAAGATTTAATGATAAATTCACCTTTTAAAAAGATAATCATAAATGCACATCTTTTTTGCAGGTAAAAAAAAATGTGCATTTATTATTTTTTTTTTTATTAGGCCCTTGTAAAACATTGCACCCCCAATTAGCAGATCGTGGGTGCAATGAATGGCTCCTGCAGTCTGTCGGTGTAAGCTGTCTGCTCATACCTCATACAGGCAGGTGGTTACACAATTACAGGAACCATCAATGAACTACCTAGAGCGTTCACCAGGTAGTTGTAGTTTTCCTATTCACAGTGACTTCGGGGAGAAGATCACTGTCACTAGAGGTGGTGGCTTGGGGAGAGGCTGCAACAGTGGGAACATGAATATATAATGAAACATTCACACAAACATGTCTGTA